AGGACCTAAGTTTGGTCCCCAACACCCACGTGGTTCACAACCATTCCCAATCCAACACTCTCTCCTGGGTTCTAAGGTCACTGCACACACATACATGTGGATGAAACACTCAGACACATAAACCTGAAAAATTAAGATTTGTCTTCCTCAGCTGGTGTCCTACGCTGCTTGAAGGAGTTAATGCTGGTTCTTACGAGCAAGATAGCAGAACGTAATATGGTAGATATTTCCCAGGCCATGGGAATGAAAAATGAATGCAAAGTTGATTTGCAGTATAGACATTTAAGATGTGTTAGCTAGTGCTTGTATACTATTTAAGCAAGAATTTGGATTTGCAATAAAGTTATGAAAATTTTACCATTACAATTTATATGACTTGCAGAAATTTTTATGATATATATATATATGTATATGTATATGTATATATATATATACACAGAGAAGTTATTAGTATTTCATGGTCCATGGATACCGAGTTCTTAAAAGTATAAGCATTAAGATAATGCCAAATTTGGATTATTGGATTTTCAACTTTCAATTAGTGAATATACTGATAATGTATGCAATTACTCTTAGCAGTTTTTATGCATAAAACTAAAATCTAGCAAAAATATTCTTTGCACAATGGAGGAAGCTGTTTTATGCTTGGAAACTAGTTGGCTTGCTTCCTGTTCTGCTGATGAATAGTATTGTAAAGATGAGCTCTCTCAGTGAGGACACTGGTTGTTACAGAAAAAAACAAAACACTTAGCTCTGGAACACTAGACTTAGTCTCATGCTCACTTGGTGAGAGTTCACCATCACCTTAGTCTAGCTGGTATTAATACATTGAATGAAGCGTGAAGTGTACATACAGATGATAGTGACTTCAGGTGTGCTCTGCAGCTGTTTCTCATGGACACATCTCCAGGTGGCCCTGCTAGACTGTGGTTTATCCCTATAGTAACCTCAACTCAAAGACATTTATACATCAAACTGAATGATAAATTTTCTTTTAAAATAATAGAAATATCACTCCATCTAATTCATGTGATTTCTACTACGGTAGAAAACAGGAACGTGACCGTGAATGCCATGTATTACCAGTTTCAGTCTAAATACTCACTTCAAATCAGCAAAAACTGGCTCCTCCTTCCCTCAAATACATAACTAAATTAATATATAACCCGGTGAACACTTAGTATTTGTTTCACATGCCTGCTCCTGTCAACTGAAGAAAAGTAGCAAATTTAATTAAATTTGCATCTTGCAATCAGACTTAACCCCCACCCCTACCCCCAGTAGTTAAGTACCATGTCCCCACTCAGAGAACAGCACATTCTTTAACGTTGTCCTTTTCAGCTAATATGACTTCAGTCCTTAACTCTGATCAAGGTTACTGACGTCTCAAATTGCCGAAATGAGGCCTGGGAGTTATTAAGACCGTCCTTTTACTACACAAATGGCAGGCTTGCCTGTCAATGGGGGTTCTGCTAAGCACCCAGTTTGTCTGACCACTTGTACTGGGGTACTTGAAAGCTCCTTCTAACCAACAGCCAGCACCGTGGGGCAGTAATGACACACAATGACACCCTGTCCCGCTCAGTTTCCTCGTTGAGTCCGAGACTTAAACTTCTTTTGAAGTTCCTGTATTTGAACAATTCTAAAATACATCCTTTCCGTACATTTGTAACATTTTTTTGGAAAATGAGATGCACTTTGTAATTAGCTGTAATTAGCTCCACCTGAGACTTTTGATTTGACAATGATTTTTGACAGATTTTCAGAAATACACTAGTTATCCCAATTCCTCGCCACACCTTTTCAGTTAGCCACAGGAAATGAACACTCAGTCCAATTCCTTACTGTATGCACGGAACACTGTCCTACCAGTCCCTCCTCCAGTGTTCTATGAAGCCAAACGCAATGCCTTAAAAAGCAAGCAATCTCAAGCTCCGAATTACCACTTAGGTACAGCGTGCTTGTCTAGCCTGAGACCCCATACACAGAACCAACATCCACAGAACAAAATGCAGCTACTCTGGTACCTTGATTTCATTGGTCCATGTTCAGCTCTTTTGCCACACACATAAAATCACTGCTCGCTGACAGCCCTAGAATTTGATACTTGAAGGGGAAATGATGTTTGTAAGGTCTTTTCTTTAATGTTGTACCCTTCCTTACTGCCTTTTGCAATGATAACATCTGAAGACTTCAGTAAAACGGGAGACACTAAAACCTATGCCATGATGCTATTCTTCAAATCCACAATCAGTAAGCTGCTGGATAGGCAGAAGGGAGGAGGGGGCATGCAGCATCCAGAGAGCATTTAAATTGGGCTTAGCATTTCAGGTGCAGAACGACTTTCAGCGACTGTGATTCTTACCGTGTCCTGAGCACAACTTACTTTTTACTGCAGCTGAAGAATACATTAGCATTTTTGGCAATAGAAATAGATTCAATTGTTTATAATAGTCTACATAGAAACTGCTCTCAAGCCATGCCACAGCCAATCTATTTTTTAAAATTTTACCATCTAAACTGCAAGCTAATGATTCTGATGTAATTCATACCACTTGATTTGACCCAACACTTAAAAACTACTGGCTCATCTTCCAGTGGATTCATGTGCTTCATCTCCAAAATCTGTTCATGGTATGATTCAAGTCACTATTTAATGGCATTGGCAAGAGGAGCCTGGTGACATGCCATGAAAATCTAACTTTTTGAAAGTAAAGATATCTCAATGCCTTACCTTAGTCTCTACATTAATTTTTTAAATCTTTTTGGTGTGTATGATGTCAGGGATTTTAACTTATAGCCTCACATATGACAGGGCAAGTCACCATCAATGAGCTAGCTATATAGCCCCCATACCCTAAAGATTATCTAGTTAGTGGATATTTCTAAGTCTTTATAAACAATAGTTGAGAACACTCAAGATATTCGTTTCCACATGTGTACGTTTTCAGCAACTTTGTGCAAAACAGACACTGAATGCAAATCTAAGTGAAGTGAGTCCTTCAGGGCCCTGCTCAGATACCTCATGTTTATGGGCAATTGGCATAATATATTGGAAGATCTACGTTTGGGAATGAAAGGATTTAAAAGTATCAACTTGATGGTTCACAGGGGACAAAACCCCCTGAGGTTTGAAAGCGAAGTGAAAATGCTTAACATTTCCATAAAAGTTACAGCAAAGGGTCATTATTTCAAAGCCCAAATAATTTACTTTGTACGTTTTATTTCCAAACTGAAATGATAAAATACATCAATTCCTCAACAAGTACTGGTCAAGTACCTGTGGGTAAATGGTTGATTTTCACTGGTAGTGTAAGAATTTAAACTTTCAGTTAAGGAAGATTACTCTGAAGGAAAATGTCGGTAAGAAACTCCAGAAAACAAGAGTTTTATCATGTATGTTATAGTGCACCTCGAGTACAGGTCTCTGTAGTCAATTAAGTTAACGGACTCCCTTTTCCAAGTTACTAGCTTCTGTCCCACAAAGCCAGGGGTAGTTCAGCGACAATGTTTGTGTGCCAGAGTTCCCATCTGCCACAGCAGCAGGGAATCAACTCCATAGCTACACAGGGGAGAGGAACAGCAACAGACCTAAGGGAAAATGGGACATGCACAGTTCAGGTCATCTTCTTTGTATGTAGCACCGACTTTCATTTTTAACTTGCTTTTAAAGTCAAGCTGACATCTGACACCACCAAATTATAATAACCAAACAAAACTGTTTAACAGGCAACTTTCCTTAATTTTGATGATCCTGGATAAAAGGAACTCAAAAAACTGGTGTCTGCTTAAAATTCTTGCCTATGGCTCTTATTAGATTCAGCAAAACAAACTTATCTTTTTTTTTAATGCACACATGCGCATCTTTTTTTTTTTTTTTGTCTGCACACATGTCTGAGGCTGCCACATACCCGGAAACTGGGGTTACAGACAGTTATGAACTGCCATGTGAGTACTGGGAATTGAATCCAGGTCCTTTGGAAGAGCGGCCAGAGTGGCCAGTGCTCTTAACCTGTCAGTCATCTCTCCAAACCCTTGATGTGACCTGATTTGTTAATCAGTCCCACAACCATGCTTTGGCTGACACTTTAGCCACTGAAGATCCCTTTCCACTGTCTTCTTGTCCACCAGTTGCCAATGCCTATGTAGGAAAAGTCGTATTTTATGATAAAATCAATTATTATGAAAAGATGAATTCTTCCTAGCTCGAAAGCAGTAGATACTAAGGATCTGAATCTGGTCCATATCCAACAGTGCAGTGTCTGTTAGGTAAAGCTGTAATTATCAAGTGTCATCTTACTGAGGTGGTACTCTGGTTGAACTCAGCAATATTTTTAAAAACCCTCATATTTTTATTGTTTTGGCTATCTGAAAATACTTAGAGAATGGTGAGTTTTATGTTCTTGCACATTCCTGATACACGAACAACATTTTCATAAACAATTACTTTTCAAACATGTTTCAGGCGATGCCAATAAGCTTTCATTCATATAGAAAAATAGGCTAAAAATAAAACTAAGAAATTAAATCCCATAGCCACCTTCCTATTCTCTAGTTCTACTGGCAGCTTCAGCCTTCTGGCACTTTAGAACAGTATTTTCATTTAGATGTCAAAAAAAAAAAAAAAGATTCTGTAACCTGAAAATATGAACGGCCAGCAAGCTGAAGGTAAATTTCATAAAGAAAAATAAGTCTAAAAGTTGTATCACGAGATTCCTCATCAATTTCTCCGAGAACAAACTTTTTTTGGTCGGGACGTTTACTTGTAATGTTGCTAAAACCCAGTCAACTTCCCTCCTGCAGTCAATGCCGAGGATACATTTTTTTAACCAAGTCCAAGGGCCCACCTGGATCCATTCACCTACTTGTTGACAGCTGAAAAAGAAGACAATTTAAATTTAGTCACCCCATTCAGCGTATTTGTAAACTTCAGGTTTTTATCTGTGTTTTTCGTATTGAAGAAGAAATCTGACAATCTCAAATCAAAGTCAACACTGCAGTGAGGAGAGCTTTTCTACTTTATTACAAAGAGAAGAAGCCTTTATGTGGTCAGAAAATACAAGATTGATCTTTTTTCTCTTCCTATGAAACGCTGCTGTTCAAACAGCCAGAGTGAATTGTCTCAGTTCACGTCTTGAAGTCCCATCACATTCACTTGGGTATGGATGTCCTTGGCTGCTGAAAATCTGGCCCTTTAGTGCACAGGGCGACAAAGTCCCCTGACCAGCAGTTCCAGAATGTCCCATTTTCATATATTGCATCCATGCACACCTCCTAAAAATGAGGTACAGCAGGGCAAACATTTTCCAAAATAGATGTCATATATATAATATATACACATTCGTACATACATACCTTTATTCATGTGATGTCCAAAATTTAAAAAAAATGTACACATTTATTACAAAATCGTAACAAAGACTGGACAGTGTTTTGCTCATTCTGGAAAGATGAAGCTCAGTAACAACACAGCCCTGGAAACCATCCAGAGACTGTGGCAATCTCTTTCTTCTACAGTCATATTCTTGCATTAAGCCTGGCGAAACTGCCGTTCAGAAACAGAAGGGGAAGTAAAATGAAAGAAGCAGACCTTGCTCATCTTTCCAAATGAAATACGAGAAGGATCTTCACATAAAAATGCACAAACATTTGTTATTTTATTACCAATAGTGCTACAAGGAACAATGTAAAGTTTGTGGTCTAATTGTGTTGAGTCTTTTGTGGGTTTTCTTTTTACATTTAAGAAACTAAATGGTAACTTCTGTCAGTGTACTTGCTTGTCTTTATAGACCCAAGTCTGTCTGCTGGCAAAAAGAAAATAAACGAAAACATTCAGACCCTGCTCAAACTAGAGAAAACAAATGACAAATTTAGTTGTTGGGCAGCACATAATTGGTAAGGCAGGACCTCAAATGGTGACCCTTTACGTAAGCCAATTGCCAGATCCTCAAGGAATGAAAACCAGGGTGCCTGAGCCACATCAATTCTGCGGATCTGTCGAGTACTGTGCTGAGACAGCCATACCCCAGGAAAAGGGAAGTCTTTTAGAAGGCTTGCTGAGCAGGGTTGTAGTTGAAGGTGGATGGCAGGTGAGGCCGTTCTTCTAATTTATCATATTCCAGATGGAACTCCTGTAAAAGAACATCCAAAATTGAGAATTTAAATGCTTTCATAGCTCTCTCTCTTTAAAAACATTATTTATTGTGTGTGTGCACGCATATGCACACGCAGGAGGGAGGAGGGGGAGACAGAGACAGAGAGAGACAGAGACCTTGTGAAGGCCAGAGGGCAGCCTGTGAGATGGCGGTCTCCCACCAGGCGGGTTCTGGACTAACTCGGTAGGTAGGCCTTCAGTCTCCTCGGCAAGAACCTTCACCTGATGAGCCATGTCTAAGTGATGAACTAGTCTAAGTGACGCTCTCTTAACTTTTTTGGGGGGCGGGAATCAACTACATTTTCTATAAGAACCATGAAAATATATCCACATGAGAGTGAGCACGGAGGACAGCCGTACTAACTCTTTGCCCTTTGAAGTCAAACAGTCTGAACAAGAGTAGTGTCCTCTGCCTACTTTCTCCTAAGTACAGAGTACAGACTTGCTGAATAGAAAATCAGTAACTCGGGAATGCGGATTCATAAAAATTCTGTGCAAATAAAAGTGGAAATGATTATAGCTCTAATGACAAAGACTGAGGATTATAGGATGTTTAAATAAAGCCTATTTCAATAAAGTACAACAACAAAAATAAAAGAACCTTGACATTTTGTTCATGTTTAACATAAGACACTTTCTAATTTACCTTGGTGACAATTTTTTTTTTTAAAGCAAAGTTCTTCTTTAACCTCACTAAAAGGTCAGGAAAACAATGAGCTGAAAGCACACACATCTCTAGAACTCCCATTTCATAAATGACATGAGAGGTCTTAACAGCCATTTAGAACTAGATAGTAGTTTGGGAGTATGACTATTGGAAAGCTAACTGGATTACTGATTTTAACCAAACTGTCCAAATGTATTTTTTTTTTTTTTACGATTTATTTGTACATAAGGGGACACACCCACTCCACAGTGCATACAGAGGACAACGTGCAGAAGTTGGTTTTCTGCTTCCACCGTGGTGGTCAACTCAGGTCCTCTGGCTTGTTGTGACAAGTATCTGTACCCTGGAGCTGCCCCTCTTCTCTCCCTCCCCTTCCCCCCTTCCCTCCCCGTCCCTCCCTCTCTCAGACAAGGTCTTGCTAGGCACTTTAGGCTGGCTTGGAAACTCCCTACACAGCCCAAGCAAGCTTCAAACCCACAATCCCACCCACCCAGCTTCCTGAATACTGGGTTTACAAGTCTGTGCTACTATCTGGCTTCAAAGTTCTAAGATTTAAGAATGCTAAGTTTTTATGACCAGCACCAGAGATGCAAATATAACTGTATACTTAAGAAAACAAATCCAAATACCTCCGTAATCACAAAAAAGGGAGATGCTCTAAAATTACGAATCTATAGCTGGAATCTAACTGGCACAAGTCATGTTAAAATTTCACTCAAGCCTCCACATACATTCTCTGCTGAAGACTAAACAAGTACCATTCATTAGCAACCATGCGTTAACGGACTCCATATCAAACTGACTCCATAATGGATGGTTCTGCTATTAAATGAAGTGAATATTTCCATTATTTAGTTAAAATGAAACCTTAGGCCATAGTGACCAAGCTTTTAGACAGCAAGTAAAATGTTCAAAATTGGAGACACCACATTAAGAGACACATAACTTGACAGCCTAGTACAAACCAAACTAAAGACAAAGCTAATGTTTTTCTAATCTTTGTGTATCTTAGTTAAGTAGGTATTTTATCATACTGAACACTAGGATCCAAACTTGGTAGGGTTTTTCCTAGTGTAACATCTGAAGGTTAGGTGTGTTTTTTATTTTTTAATACTTTTAATCTAAGACTCAAAGCAAATTTATTTCATTATACCCCCCAAATAACTTTGAAAACATTAAGTGCCTTCCCAGACGTTTATAAAGAAGTACACTGAGTGACTTTATCTTTTATAAAGATACTTTCCACAGGACTAGGAAAGGCACAGAGCCACTTGCCAACTAGTGAGGAGGAGCAAATGGCAGTGGGCATCCTTAAGTTCTCTGACAAATGGCAGAGCCACCCTACCCACGCCTCACCCACGGCTGAAGCTGAGCATCCACATTCACATCAGCCAAAATTTCCCAGTCAAACTATTCTTTAAAATGAAAATGCGCCTTGTTCTATAAAAATATAGTTAGTATAAAAAGCTTACCTGCAATTTTGACAAATGACAAGCTCTAAGTTACATTTTACCCACACTGGCAAGATAAACTGCTTTATTAGTCCTTAAATAGATTAACCTCATCAATATTAATTATTTCCCACTATACTTTATAAAACGAGACCAGTCTGAACCTAGGGAGCATAAATACTTTAATATTTAAAAAATATTAAAGAGCTATCCAGAAATGATATGGGTCAAGTCTTGCCTTCCATTGTTAATCTTCTATCTTCTGTCCCCCATGCATTTATTCTTCGTGGAGTACAGGAACCTTGCATCACTCTTCCTCTCCGTTCCCTAACTACATCTAACTTACTATCTATGGATCTCTCTCTTACAGGTCAGTGTTATACAGCTACCATGTGCACACATACTATGCATATACTCTGGAACGGATGTAAAAAGAAACTGCTTTGTCTACCTCAGCTAATGCTTGGGATAGTGTGGGGCCCTCCGCTAAAGTATCATTAGCAGCTCATGAATTAAGACAAACAGCCCTCTGTGGTGGCTTGGGTAGGAAGAGCCCACATAGGCTCATATATATGAATGTTCAGTCACCAGGGAGTAAACTGTTTGGTAGGACTAGAAGGACTAGGAGGTGTGGCTTTGTTGGAGGAAGTGGGCCCATGCCAGGCCCACTCTCCCCTCTTCCTGCGGATCAGGATATGGGATTCCACCATAGCTGCTTTTGAGCCAACACGCTCCCTGCCATGACGATAATGATCTAAGCCACTGAAACCATTAAGGAAGCCCCCCAATTAAATGCTTTCTTTTGTAAGCGTTGCCTTGGTCATGGTGTCTCTTCACAGTAACAGAACAGTGACTAAGACAGTTTTATGTACTTTAGAAAAAGAATACTTAATTTTTAAAGTAATACTTTAACATTCCGTAGTAAAAGGTCAAAGAGTCTATGATTTGTTTTAATGGAAACTATTGTTACAGGAAGATGCTTTTCAAAAGCCAAAAAAGAATTCTAGATATGTGAAAAGCAACTTTTTTTCATGACTCAGTTTTCTTATGAACAAAATTAGAAATCGTTTTCTCACAAAATTACTTCAGTAAAACTGAGTTTACACACTGGACCCAAAGCAAGCATGTACAAGAGTAATGCTATCATGGTCCTGATCTCAGAAAGCATCAGCATTCTCCTAACTACAGTAAGCTCATACTGAAATTTAGGAAGCAACAAAGTAGGTTAAAGATGGTTACTAGAAATAATTTGTGAATAAATGCATAGTAAAATTAATGAAAATAATCATCTATAATAAGCATAACATATCTTATGCACCAGAAATCCTGCAGTATATCTATGAGATAAAGTTAAGCTATAAGAAGCCTGCAATTTGAAGTCTTTGAGAAAACTATAGATAATAAGGAAGGCTTCATCACCTAAAAATAAACAGGGAAAGGAATGACCTAAAATTTTTACTTAGTAAGTTATACATGCAATGTTATTGCAATTTTTTAGTTAGTGATGTATGAGTACTCTAGCAAATTTACACAGGACCCCACGTCTTGCTAATTATTTAGGATCACCTCAAAAGAAAGAATGAGCAAATAAAACATCAAAATTTTATGTACATTATTATTATTATTGCTATTTTTTGGAGACAGGGTCTTATTATGTAGCCCTGAGTAACCTAGAACTTAAGAGATCTGCCTGTCTCTGAACAGTGCTAGTATTATAGTCAAGCGTCATCCTGCCCAGTTATATGGTTAACTGAAATTCTGAAAATAAATATTGGATTGGACCCTAAAACTGAAAGTCGTGTATGTTTTAGTGATTTAAATAAAGTATGAAGTAACTGCTCTTACTACTACACTTCTCGGACAGTGTGAACTGCCTGAGACCGGCTCACAGAATACACTGTTAAGTTCTCACACTATTCATAGTATGTTCTTACAAACAAGATGAAGTTACTTGGTGTTTACTTTACTATTCTGCAAACTCCATCACTTTGCAAACCCCGTGGCTGATAAGACAGTGTCACATTTATGAATATTCTATAGTTTTATGAATTCTTTTAATATGTCTTAATACCAAGCAATTTTATGGAAAGTTCTAGCACATCTGTAAATAATCATTGTAAAGATTATATTTCACTATAACCAATTCACGAACTGCTCATTAATGCCTGGTAGAAACCAACAATTCTGACTGTTTCTCATCACTGTAGAAGAATTTTGAAAAGTCAATGCAAGCAGCTAGCATATTATTCAGAGAGATCTCTTAGGGAATAACTTAGATGCTACTACTCAGGCTTCATTTTCCTACTTCACTAAACTTTTAAAGAAGTGAAGACAGCTGTTCAACTATATTAGGAGACAGGTAAAATTTAGCAAAGTTATTTAACAAGCATATGTCATATATAGTCTTATATTTTATATAGGAAACATTTTCTTTAAAATAACTTTGACCTAAACTGGGCATTGTTTCCGAGGAAAGTAAAAAGCTCTAATATTAATGTTTCTGAATATCTCACATTATAGAAGGAAGATAACTCTCAAAAATCATTTTTTTTATTTAAGTTGATTTCCTAACACATAACCTAACTAAATTTTTAGCTATAACTACATAGCTATGTATTGTTAAGCACATTCATTTTTGCATATAGATGTAGAATTCAAAGTACTGAGCATAAAGCTTCAAGATGACTGTAGAAAAGCTTCAGTCTCCTCCAAAGACCTTGTCTCTGCTATAGTATCATCTCATTTAGAAGTACGACCTTGGACCAGATACAGCATCCTCTCCAGAATAACCAGGGAGCTTGTTAGAAGTACTAACTCTTAGACCTCACCCACAGATCTGACTAGGTCACACACAGCAGGAGGCATGGCTCTGCAGTTTGTTTAACCAGTCCCCAGGTAATTCTCATACAAGCTAAAATTTAACCAAGAGACAATCAATTGCAAATTTTCCTGTTTGGAAGAAGAGCAGTAACCTCCAACAATGAATGATAAAAGCATCAGAACTACTAACACATACATCCAACATGTGCCAAAGCAAACTCAGGGTATGGATGTGTGTATAGATAATTTCATTCAATATTTATGATAACCATTTTGAAAAAAAGAACAGAGCCATAGAAAGGAAACTTGTACAAGGTCAAAGAAGAAACAGAACTTAAATTCTGTTTCTGTTATACTCTTTAAGGAGCAAAGAAAACCTATTTTAAAATATATTTTAGCTGGGTGGTGGTGGCCCACGCCTTTAATCCCAGAACTTGGGAGGCAGAGCCAGGTGGATCTCTGTGAGTTCGAGGCCAGCCTGGGCTACAGAGTGAGGTCCAAGACAGGAACCAAAACTACACAGAGAAACCCTGTCTTGAAAAACCAAACCAAACCAAACCACTTTAATTTGCTTCCATTTAACTAAAATGGTAAAGAATATAGTCTTTGAAACTAAGACATTTCCATGAATTGTAGCTGTTGAGATGACTGACAATCTAAGGAACAAGCACTAATCCCATTTACCACTGAGAAACCAAAAAAATAAAAAATAAACCAAAACCCCAAAAAATAAAGCAAAATATTTTTTAACCTCCTCTGTATTTTCTATTGGATTTATCTTTTTAAATTTCTTTAAGTTTTAAAAGAACTTCTAAAAGGCCAAACTTGTCTATGGTTTATATCTGATAACACTTCATACTATCTTAAAATGTAAAACATTCTATCAATTTAGTATACTGAAAAAAAAAAAATCACCCCAAAGCAACAACTAAAATGCTGCCCAAAGATGTAATTTGTCGGAATCACTTTTCTTCTGTTTAACTTTCAATTAAAGACTACCTCACACTTTTGTAGTTCTAAGACTCACTGATGGAAAGTGTATTCAGAGAAGTGGAGCTGGAGTTCTCGAAAACTAAATGTGGTTCTATTTACCATCAGGCTGACTGTAAAGCAGCAGCGACTACACACTGCTGGTGTGACACATCTACACACCGCTGCTGGTGTAACACATCTACACACCGTTGGTGTAACACATCTACACACCAGTGTAACACATCTATTGACGGAAATTTACACAATGCAAAGAGGGAAATTTTCTCTGACAAGGTGATTTTGTAAAACAAAGTTACAAAACCAAAATAGAATAATAATTAACTTTTCCATACAGCCCACTACCCCTCAATGTTCACTCATGGGACAATGAATGGTGAGTGTCTGCAATTCTCCTGCATTAGATGGTCTGCAAATAAATACTCAGCCACCTTCCCTGAAAAGTGTACAGAACCTTTAACAAAATGCTTTTAGATAAAATGTCTCAACCTATGTAAAGTAACAATAATATGTGGCTGGGATTGTAAGAGTAAACTTTAATAATTTGGCAGTCATAAAAATATTTCAAATGTTAACAAGTCTTACTCCAAATTATAAAAATCTCTTACCAAATTTAATAAATTTCCAATTAGTGAAATGAGCTGATTTTGGACACTTCTATGAGCGTTGGCAAAGATCTGACACATTACTGGAACAGACATATTGTTAAATATTAATAAGCAAAGGCCGCTTTTTAACATCTGCACATAGAAGAAGCATACCTTAGCTACTTTCCTCCAGTTAAGACAGTCAAAGAAGTAGTATGTTCCCCTCTCGTAGGTGTTGGTTTTCATTGTGGGCTCCATGCCTGGTGCTCTGGTAATCCACACTCGTTCCTCTTTGTGGTATCTCCAATCACGGTTAAAACTTCAATTTTTAAGAGAGAAAGACGGTTAACTTTCCTGTGACCCACATTAAACATTTTATACATACGGTAAACCTTTTCTCAGAAAAATTATATATAAAATACGTACATACGGAAGCTTCTTTACCTGGCTCTGCTATTAAGTACAGCCTTATTCAAATACAGTAAGATAATTTCTTTTGTTCCAAAAGCACATTCTTTAGTACACATGCTTTTATTAAGTAGAATAAACTTTATGTAGACAAAATATGTTAAGTTATATGAATGACGTAATAAAACTTGGGCAGACCAAAGAAAGATAAAATATACTGAACAAATGATAGAAACTGATACTGAAGCAGACTAAAACAATCCAGTGATTTGTCTTACTAGGTGTATTAAGCAAAAAGTCATTTGAACTGACTATTTAAATTCACACAATTTTTCAGTTATGAGGACAACAGAATACCTATTTTGTAAAGTTTAATTCTAAATTAAATCATAAACCATCAAAATCTCTAAGGGAATATTATCAGAACCCAGGCAGATGATCTATAGCACTTATAAACTGGGGTAGCAACATCCAAAGGAACAGATGTTCCACAATGATGGACTTCCATGTAAACAAACACATGCTTTCCTACAGTTTGGTAGTTCACAGACATAAATGGCATAACACAAAAGTCAATTACAGATGGATGAGTGATTTCATACATTTATTTATTTATGACTAGATTAAAAGGAATGGGTGTTAATCCTCATTTCACAAAAATGAGAAGGAAATGGGGAAAAAAGCAAAAAAATTTTCTCAATTGAAAAAATTTAAAACCATCGACATAAAGGCACAAATACGTAGGGTCTTGTCTATATAATAATCAACTGACTTATACTAAAGAATGAGATTCTGTGTCTATTCACCATATAAACATTTGCGGTTCTACAAGAACCACAACCAAAACTCACACATTCAAAAACTTCAATTCCCAAGTGTGTCACTTTATATAGTTAGCATTAAGTTTAAAATCCTTTTCATGTGATGGGGGTTATACAGCTGTAATATGCTTTCAATATAAATGAAATTCACTTTATTAAATATAAAAATAACTCAAATTCTTTCCTTTATACTTTCGTTGTTCTGATGACCCAGGGCACGACTAAAGTCTGGAGATGCTAGGCAAGCATTTCACCACTGCACAACATCCCTGTCAACAACTTAAATTTTGTGGGAAGGAGAATTTTCAATAAAAACAAAAAACTATAACCATCATCATTTAAAAAGAAAAAGTTCGAACATCCAAGATATGCTAGGAGAGAAAGTGCTAAGACATTCTGAACATACAGCTCTACTGCGGCCAAGAGTTGTAATACATCTCCTCCGTTCATGTAATAGAGATAGAAGAGGAGGTCTTCTCCATATCGGCCGAGCTTGATTGCAGCCAGCTAGAAAAGACAAACAGATTGTTCTGAATTGTAAAGCAAATGTAAAATCTTCAAAACACAATTGCTACTACAAAAATGAAAATTGGAAGGATAAACAGAACTCTTCACTTAGCGCAGACAACTGTCATTTCATAATTACAGTCAGAGAGTTAAGAGTTTTCAAGAATTTCTTCACCTAAATGAGTAAGGTTAATTTTTGAACCCTAATCCCAAATTAAAAGAATGGGAGTATATGCAATATCCCATGGAGTGCCAGCCACACAGGTTTGGAAGTGCCAGCTGAATCTGTATGCACAGTGAGATTTCCAGCACATCACAGATGATAAGTATAAAAATCATAGAGATAGCACTCTATTTTGTTTAAAGGAAGGCCTAAAAGATAACTTCTCTACATTTCCCTACACAAGGTAGGAAACAGCCTACAAAACTATTAACTACATGTAAGTGCCATAAGCTCAAATTCTCACATTAACATCAAGCACCCCTAAACGAAGTAGCCACCTAGTCTGCATAATCCCAGTGCAGGTTCTCTTCCCATTATGGCCCCCAGTCAAGTGGTAGTTGTGAAGGCAGGACATTCTCCAGTATTTCTCAAACTGCCCTAAGGAAAGATTCTGGAACACGTAGGCACCTGTAGCCTCAGGTCTACAGTACTAGTGTGGCACAGACGATGTGTCGAGGCCAACTTCAAAAGGGTTTGTGGGTTGTCCCATTATAAATACTTATCTGGGTAAGGTTGTAAAGAGGTAAACGCGTTCTTAAGGGGAAGGGCATAAAATGAAACTGTCAGAAGACTAATGACTAAACTTCCCAAGTCAGTTCATTGTCATCCACTATTGTTACTATGGTTATAATTAATAATTACAGGAAATATTAGCCCTAACATTTGTTTGTTTTTTAAAAACATTAATATTATTAACAAAAATAAAAATAAAATTGTTATACATAACTGAATCAGACTACAAAAGCATATTCCAAAGATTGCTACTAGAGCATCATGCTGTCTGAACTGAAAACGGTACCAAGAAAGTAGATAAAATCCACACTAACTAAGAATAGTGTGCTACACTCACCTTATCCCTAATGTGAATGTTCGTTAAATATTCGGATGGAACATGGAAGTCTGCATTAAAAAAAAAAAATCTTATTAACTGATTCTTAGAAAACATTTTTTAAAAGATTCTAAACACAAACAGCTTCTCCTACCTATGTCCTGAGGTCGACAAGGTGAAGATGCCCAGGGTGATGCAAATTTGGGGTAGAGATTTCTGAACAAGAGGTAAAAAAGAAGCCACTTTAAAGAACAAAGTAGTAAAATTTATTTCTAACTTAATTTTGGGCAAACAAGGAAAAACAGACTTCAAATAAAAAATGAGCATCGTTCCTGGTTCCCTTTCTTGAGTTTACTGAACTTTCCAGCAAAACCACCCAACAGGGCTGCTTCCTTCAGCATTCCTCCAAGAGAGCACAGGGCAGAGCAAAGGAAACCGCGCTCAGGTACGTGCTTCAATGTTCTACTTCCCATCAGCTATCATTGACAGTGCTTTCCATTCATTTCTACACCGCTCTCCAATCAAACTACCTTCCATGTTCACCTCACCCAAATCGATAACCATGAGGAGCAAGATTTCACTCAGTATTTATGTGAGTGTCTACTACATACACCTGGAACTTTTCTAGGTTCTCTGAATACAGTAAGTGAAAAAAACAAAGACTGCTGGTACCATAAAACTTACTTTCTGTTTAAGAATATAGAGGACTGGATGCTGGCAGCATATAATTTGTTCAGTGAGGGCCTGAACGTGAGGAACTGGTTGTATAATTAAGTGAGGTGGTCAGTTTAAGTCAGATTTGACAAGTTTAGATTTAAACAAATATTCAATGATATGAAAGGGATAATCACAGATAACTATCAGGTAAAAACACTGCTAGTCAAGGGAAATATACTAGAAAAACTTAAGAAGAGACATCTTGACATGAGAGGTAGACTAAGGCGGCCAGGGAAACCACAAAGAACAATAGAGTTAAGAGGAAGCGTGGACAGCGTGGACATCGGAGGGCTGCTCAACAGGGAGTTCTTATTTAGGATGAACAACCGATCTGCACTTGGAATTGAACATGAACAGCCTCCTATGAAGAGTTCTCTTGAGTGCTACATAGAGCTGTACAGAAAGGGAAACCAAGACTCCCGCTTGGTGATCTGCTGACAGACTACTCAGGTAACAAACCACAGAGGAAGCAATTTAATGAAAATCTGATGGGATTCTCTACCTTTTTGAGAAGACGGCAGCTAAGGGAGAAGGAAGGAGAGAACTAAGGATGATGTTAAGTTTCTGCAAGTATTAACCGAGACTGAAAAGCACAGAGAGAGTAGGCTGGCACCAGTTCATTTAAGAGGTATTTAATTGGTAATGGTATTTGAACCTCAGGTTTAGGAGAGAAGTCTAGATTTTAAATCTACACGGTCCTTAAAAGCAGGAGACTGACAAGATCATGAAGGGATACAAAGAGAGGACTGACCCTCCAATGGTACAGACAGGAGATATCAGCAAGGAAAACAGAAGGATGAGCCAAGGTGATCAGATCATGAGGACATCTTCAAGAGAAAGAGCACACTATGGTTCACTAATTTAGTAACAGGGAGAGCATTTGGTAACCTTCTGCACAGTGGAGTGGAGTGGTGGGAACTGAGTTCTGACTAAAATGGGTCTCACAGGATGCGAGAAGACAAACTAGAAAAATTAAGATGGTTCATTTAAGATGTTTTGCTTTAAAAAATGGTTTAAAAATGTGACAGTAACTCAGGAGGTTGAATCAAAATAAAATATTTTGATACTGGTAGAAAAACAAGTTTCTCTTCATGTGACTAGGGATGGTAAAACAGAAGTGTTGTGAGTTGGATGAAAAAGTCCGAGTTGGACAGAAATACACGTGCCTGCAATATCACTTAGGCAGAAGCAGCAGGACTTAAAGAGCCACCCTGGGTTACACCAGCAAGACCCGTTTCAAAAGACCTGGGGGCTGAGGATGTAGTTCCGGGTAGAGTGCTTGCCTTACATGTGTACAACACTAGTATGGATGCTAGCACCAGGGAGAAAAAGTGAAGAGTCACACTCACAAGTTTTCAGAAAGTTTTAAGGAGGAAGCAGGGACTAGATACTCTGGCACAGGTGTATCAGGTTCAGATTGGTGGCAAGTCATTAGATCGGTGGCAGGGGTGGTTGCATGCCCTCTTCTGTTTGTTTCCACCTTTCTTTGTGAAGTTGAAATGAGAGCCAGGTCATTATTCGAGAGTTAAGGAGAGGAGGAAAAGGTATTAATGGCTTGATGAAGCACAAAATAGCCACATAGGATAACAGCAGCAAAACCCAGCACAAACGACAACAAAAAGTTCTGAATGGACTATGCATTTCAGATATGAGTATGCCTTCAAAATTAGGGACTCACTTCGAAGTTCCTGAGCATGACTGTGAAGCAAGACTAGATGATGAAACTGTATGCTTTTCCATAGTCCATCAAGTAGACAGACCAAGAATGAAACAAGCAGATGTAACAATGATTACAGACTTTACAATACAAGTATGATGGGAAGTCAGAGAGGCGCCAAACAGTCAAGAGTCATGTAAATCAGCAATTAAGATCATAGAATTTAATGGTGAAAAGGAAGTGGAAGAGATAAGGATAAGGAGGAAGGAGAATTAATGGATGAAAAGTCTCAATAGAATCAAATGATTATCAAAGTCAAAGTACAAGAAAGAACAGGGAAATGAAGATGGTTAGAAAGCAGGGTGGAAAGTTAAACTATCCAGAGGCTACAGTTCCTAATGATGACAACATCAATGGGACGGGTAAAAAGATGTGGCTTGGGGATGGATCCAAATTCATGGAGACAGACCCTTGCCGAGTAGCATTTCTCAGTGACTGTGGTCTATGGGCGAGTAACAGAAGGAATGACCCCAAGAGTACAGCAGGCAAGAGCAGTGGGAGCAGACAGGAGAGTGTGACAGTGAGATAAGTACAAGTCTAAGGCGGTCCAGGGGAGCAATGGGTATGTCAGAATGTCTACAATGCCTGCCTGGGTCACGCTGTCTTCAAAAAGAAAGATGTAACAGTATGACAATCTAGTAAGTGCTAGAAGTTTACGGACAAACGTGAAGGAAAAAACTTACTCAGGAGAGTTCAGATTGAGGCCTAATGTTGTTAAGTCACTTCCTAAAGCGAGATGCACCATTCCTGGGTCTGTCTCCGCCGCCCTGATGAATGTCAACAGCCCAATCATTCCAAATTGGTCCGTCACCATCCCTTGAGGAATGTTAGTAACTCGACCTGGTTAAGACAAACAAACACAGTTATTTTTATTTTATATTAGGAGAAGTAGAGAAAATGTACTTTAAAATCTCTCTGACATATTTATGGAGTCCCACCATCAGGTAACACCTGGATCCCCTTTTTCTGCTGATTATTGTTTTGTGTTGTTGAACTTTTATCTCCAGGGAATTTGGGTCCGTCTGTACTTGAAGTCGTCTTCCCCGATGTATTCAAATTCTAGCATGAAAAAAAAAAGTGTGACATTAAAATGTGTTAAATACATAAGTTCAAATTTATCAATACCATGCTAATTATTCACTACTATATTTAAAATGGTAGTAATTACCTGTTTTCTATTCAAATATTATGTTCCCATAACTGCCTCATGGTAACCAAATACATACTGTGTCTACACATAAATATTTAAAGGATAAGAAATCCAGAAAAAATGAGGGGTTTTTATTTTTGAAATCTCAGATCAGAGAGCACAGGGTGGGGAAACATAGCAAGTACCCTTTTCTTTCTCAGGGTTTTTATGCTCTGGGGACACACACTTTAGCGAACACTTTTAATACAGCTACATAAAAGAGGAACTACATCTACCACAGCACTTAAAATACTACCAAACAACCTCTGAGATAAACTAGGAATGTATAAACTTTTAAAATTCACACATTTCAATTCTTACCCAACAATCTTCTTTACCATTTTGCTTATTAATACCCCATCACACATACAAAAAAAAAAAAAAAAAAAAGCTACTTGCAGTGAATGGTAGAAGAAATCAACACCCTTGTTAAATCAGGAAGAAGCTGAGTTGGCTGAATCAACACAGGTGTAAAAATGTGTATAAAGATTCTTCAAGGAGAAAACTTACTCAAGAAAAACACAGCTCCTTAGAAGTCTATATTATCAAACTTCATGGGATCCAGCTGACAGGGACTACAATAAAAGTCTAAATTAACTGACAAGTTCAACAGAAATTTGCAAACCTATATGAAATAGGAAAAAATAGGCTATCTTCTAGTTACAAAGCTTTCCACATTCTTCAGAAGTTAGATTATTACAGTGTTCAAAATCACCAGTTCCGTAGGAGTGTCTAGTGACTGCTAACGCAGACCAGTCTAGGGGGAGGAGACGGCCCTCACATCATAAGTCTCAGCCACTTACAGGTTTGCTGTCGTCATTACTTGACGTGGGGTCTTTATAGCTGGAACCAGGTAATGCTGGAAAGTCTTCATTGTGTATTGAGAAGTCCTGGGATTGCTCGTTTGCAGGTTTTGTTACCATTCCAACTATGTAACGAAAATAATCCAGAAAATTATAATTGGATCTATAATACTGTCACACAAGTTATACAAAAAGTTAACTTTGCTCATGATAATATACCAAAGTTTTCTTTAAAGCATGTGAAATGATAATTCAAAATTAGCACTCAGGATAATGATAATTTTGATTTACTGATGAAAAAAATCAACATATAAAACAATACAAGAAAAACAAGTAGTTATCCTGCAATTCTGATCTAATGTTATATAAGTGCTTAAAATAGGATTTGATATTGGTAATACTATCCAAAATGCTGGCTTACAGGCTAGCTTTAAATATCTGACTAGATGCCATAAACATGTTAGCTGTCAAATGAAAATGAACACAATAAAAAATTTTAAAAAATGTCAGTATTCTACTTAAAAGTGACTTACAGAGTGAGCAAATTGCAACCAATTATAAAACAATTCCACTTTATTTCTCATTTTCTTGGACGCCATGTTACAGATGTAAAACATGCAAGAACTGGGAAATAATCTTCCCACTATACTTGTCATTAGTCAGGCCCTTATTGGAGAACAAAATCCAGTTTGGGGCTCCACAATTCAAGAACGAAATGGAGAAACTAGAGATGGTCCAAGGAGAGCAACGGGAATGTTTAAAGGGATGAAAAAAAGGACCTATGAGGAAAGGTTAGAACATTAGCGTCTGAACTGAGAACCAGGTAGCTAGGTACTCAACTTCCAGGGCAGGGCACACTTGGTTATTTTGGCAAAACAGATTTGGAAGCTTTAAAATGTGATCTATAAAGATTTTCCCTTCACACGTTATTTGTATTCATATTCAGGAAGTACAGAAATCGAAATCCTATTGTAATGAAGAAAATATGAGTTCTATTTTTAAAATAGCTGATGAATTAACCCATCTAATTACTGACTTGTACTGGTCTCCTACAGGTCTTCCCCCCAAGAAACAATAATGTCATAGAAACAGTAGGGCTACCTTGATATCACAAACTATTTTATGCCTAAGTCTTATGTCTGACTTGCATATGGCTCTCCCCTAACAGTTTTATGCAGCTCTACTAGCCAAACATCTTAACTTCCTAGAGACTGCAGAAGAGAATAATTAGGGGTATTAATGATGGTCAAGAATCTATAAAAATACAAAATCATAAGCACTGGTTATCAAAAGGGACAATCTTCTCAGGAGGACATTTGCTAATTTCTAGAAATATGGGTCACAATGGACAGTGCTAACATGTGGTAAGCTAAAGCTAGAAACATACTAAATATTCTATATAAACAAGATGCTCTCACACCACTCGCTTTCTGAAAAGAATTATCCAGGCTCAGTGTCAACAGTGGGAATCTAGGAAAGACCTCAATGCACTGTCATTATCAATCACCAGGGAGATATTCTCTTCAAAACTGTGAGGTCAGCTAATAAACCAAACTATACAAAGAATCACTTATAGCAAATTAAAGCATAGAGAACTGAATAAATAACTTCTGAATAGCAATATAGGTTTCTGCACAAAATTTTACCATTGGACTTTGTTATCATCGATATATATGGGGAAAAAGTTTTCAAATATGAATTCAGACAAAATAACACTAGCCTGATTTGATAACATAAATATGTATGAACATACACAGAGACATGCATGTGTTATACATATGACTGTAACCTTCATTTGGCCATCACTAAAAATCTTAATTACCGTAAGGTGCTCTTCCAGCCAAAGGGTTTATTAATGGGGTTGGGTTACCACTTCCTTCCCTTCTATTTCGGTCAGCTAATGCTGGAAAATCTGAAAGGTCCAATCCTGTCACATTTTCACTGCCATCTAAACAATAAGAAATGATACTTATTATTGATTCCATAAACATTTAAAATGAGATTATAAAAACCAAAATATAATTAGCAACAACAGTGTCTTCTTTTTAATAATGCAGAGTGGTACAACCGGTATCTAACAGTGGTAAGATACTGTGGACTGATTCTGTGACGTGGAATTTCCTAGTAAGTGAGGAAAGCAATATGCAGCCAGGACCTTAAGATACCCAATCCTAGAGACTTAAGATACAGAGGTTGCACATTAACCCCAGCACTCGGGAGGCAGAGGCAGGTGAATCTCTGTGAGTTCAAGGCCAACCTGGTCTACAAAGTGAGTCCCAGGACAGCCAGGGCTACACAGAGAAACCCTGCCTCGAAACCCCGCGCCCCACCACCACCCCCCCAAAAAAAGAAAAAAATTATAGCTTGTTAGGGAACAAGAAGTAGACTGTTTAGATATAACTGCTCTTTTCATTGAAATTGGATGGATGGGGCTATATCTGGATTACTTTGCACTTCAACAATAAGATAGGATGATGACATTATCTCTTACATATGTCCAGAAAGACTCTGAGGGAAAGTGGACAGAGAACCCCTGAGGACTTCTGTCTTGTACACTATTAGTCTGAGATAAAAATGTGTTCTCATGCATGTGTATGTTAGCTATTTGCAAGAATGGACTCCTCCTATGTCTCAGGAGCATGTGGGAAATACAGGAATGACCAAAACCTAGAGTTTATATTACCTGTTACACAGTAGGCGCTCAATAAATATACTGAATAAAGATTTTATTCATTTTGAATTAGACTGCTACCATTAGAAATAATCATTTAATCTAATTTCCCTATTTTGCCTATTTTAATTGTTTTCTCTCAACTTTTAATGTTCTTAATCTAGTATTCTAATTTTGAATCACTTAATTTTTTTTACCTACAATTTACCCTATACTATAATTTTTCTTTAACCTATGGTTCTCCTTGTTTTATAAGCATTATAGTTTTTGGGGCATTTTCCAATTATCTTTCATTTTTCTCAAAATTTTACATTTAAAAGAATCTCAAATATTATCTGTCCTAAGATTAACTTTGCTGATTAAAAAAAAAAAAGACTTTTTATTAACACACCAAGGAAGGTGATAATTTAAAACTACAAGGGTAAAGAAAAGCCATTTCATACAAATTATTTAAAACATTTATGAATTTTATTTAAGATACAATATGGATAAAGCAAAGAAATGAAAATCTTTACTGTTTTAATTTATAAAGTAATATCTCTCAAATTATGATTATTAATTATAATTTTCTCCAAGTAAAAAATAACTTTAAATACACATCCTTAAGTCTTGTTCAATTTAAAATGGTCATGTATTAGGTGAGAATATAATTTAACAAGCAATTTATAATTTCCCAAATGTACACTTAGGGAAAGTCTCACAAATAATTTTTCCACTCAGTATAAAACCTACAAATTTAAAAATTCTCAAACTTCATAGCAGCATATAAAAATATCATTCAGTTAAAATGTGAGTAGCCTTTCACAATAATTTTACATTGGAGGTATGAAAAAGTGTACACTTTAAAAGCAATGAAATATACAGCTTTGTTGTAAGAACTACAAAGTTGATGTATTTTAAAATTACACCCAGAAAACTGTATTTAAATGCTTAGAATCTTCCATTTCTTTCACTGGTTTTAATCTTGGTTGATCCAGTTCTGCTGTTCAACAAATCATCTCAACACTCAGAAGTCAAAAGCCTACAGCTACCAAACATGAATGCTTCCTTCCTGCCTGGTGTCCTCTCGTGTCTGCTGCATGTTCTATCTCACAGACTGCCCTGGCCCCTTCACCTCCAGTCCACCCAGGAACCCTATCTAATTCTGCCCTACAGTCACAGCAGCATCCCTCATCTTCTCATCAACAGAGGACGACAGAGGCAAAGCACCGGGCAACACCACTCCCTGCTGTCTTCTGTCTAAACAGTTGGGAAAAGAAATCAACAGGCTTTAGTTTGGGGGTGGTTTTTTTTTTTTTTTTTTTTTTTTTGGCCAATAGTCAAATTAGTTTCCAGGTAGCTCAATCTTACAAGTAATACTGGGTCAAAATTTGTAAGGGTTAAATGTGAAAATTTTTATGAAAGCTATTTTAAAAATGGCAGACTCTCTTTAGTCTGGGCCTCTACAATCAGAAATGCCTTGCCGCCCAACTCAGTCTACACTCTTGTTCTCACTGACAGGGCCAAGGATAGGAAAAGTTTTGAAGAAAAAAACAAAAACCAAACCAAGATTCTGAGGCACAAATACAGATTGAATTAGTATTACTCTCTTTAGATATTAAAAAAAAAAATGATGTTACAACACAAAATACTACATTACAAGACCCAGCTGGGGTTGTGTGGGCCCATTTAAATTGCTCTCTACTGTTGAGCTGAGTCCTATCCCTGGCAGTTTTTCACTAAATCAATTCTACTATTTCAAACAGTCCAATCCTACTAATGTTTAGAGACCAGTATATTAAACTGCTTGTATTTCAGAACTCTACTATACTTTTAGTAGGGTACTAGCTCCAGAGTAAGCTTACCTGTTCCATTAAAAATGTTACTTGATAAGGAGTTATTCATTCCAAATGCCTGATTCCTGTTCATTCCAAATCCAGACATACTGGGTACATAGAAAATAATTTTAGATATACAGTAAGAACACTAACTTAGAGATGAAGAAAAACAGAGTATATATACTTTTGGTCTCCTCATATAAAATAACAATATATTTTAAAACCAATGCTAATTTGAGAGTATAATCTTCATTTTTATTTAAAAACTTCTCTAAAACTCTTCAATGAACAAGAAAGAACCAAACAGTTTAAATAAGTTAGTTTTAAAAACAAGAGAAGAAACTTACTTATGAATGTTGCAGAACAGAGATTAAGGGTACCTACCACTTTCTGTCCTGAGTGTGCTCCCTTTCTGGGTAAATGCACCTATCTCAGAATGCAGGTGATGTGAAGAGCACGCCCACCCCGTGCCCACACCTCTCTTTCTCTTTCCTGACTGGTGAAGCTTGCTTTTCCGAGTTAAGTCTTCTCTTCACAACCTCTGTCCTTCCCAACTACTCGCTCCCATGAGGCCATGTCTTACTGACTTTCGCATTTAACCTGAATTAAACTGACCAGGAACTTTTCAAAAATTGAATTCAGTGTTCTAAAACACATCATTTCATCTATATTTAGGTTAGTTTTCATCTACACAACAGAAAAAAAAAATCTTTCTATAGTACTCCCAATTTTGAATTAATGTACAACTCAATTTCTGCAAATAATTACAAATAACCCCCTTTTCTTTCTGTACAGACCTTAGCAGGACCAAACAAACAAACAAACAAACAAAAAGAAACTGCATTTAGAAAAAGGCCAAATAACTAAGGATGTCAGTAAGGATTATTAGTGGTTCTAGAAAGAAACTATGTATCTTTCTCATTTCACAGTCTTCTGTTAGGTCAGGATGCCAGTGGAGAGCAGGGCTAAGCATTGGAAAACGACAGCTGTAACTTGTCTGCCTACGTCTGTAGAACTAGCCACTTGTGGATAAGCTGTGCAGCTAGTGGACCAACATTCCAGGGCAGAGCAGGTGAGTCCAAATAAACACTGTTTCCTATTACGCTAGAGCTTCTGGTTGTAGAGTACCTCAAACACGGATTCAGGTGAAGCCATTTCATAGAAATATCAGTAGCACTCATCAGCAGAGATTAAAAGTTTTATTACAGTGTCACTTTTACACAAAATACTTTCCAAATAATTAAAATGTGAAAAAAAAATAAAAGCAAAACTTTAAATTTAAAAATATATCCAATGAACAAGAATGCAGAAAGATGAAATAAAGCCCAAGCAATACAGTTAAGAAGCTATCGGAAAGATAAGAGCTGTAACAACCCACTGCAAATGATTTCTTAAAAACGTAGATGCGTAGGACCTGCACAGAACGAGTGGAGTTTCTGAGATAAAGGCTGAACAGGAAGTATGCTAAGCACCCATTTTAGTGCAGATTTGACAGTGGATAGAAGAAACTGATTGAGATGGATGTGGGAGAAACAACTACATGAAGGTCTTTTCTTTCACTCAAATAGTGTTTCATAAAAATTAGTAAGTATAAACATCCTGTGACACGTGACTCAAACTTCTATAGTGCTTTTGCAAGAAAGCCGTACATTTCAGAAATCACTCTTGCGTCACCCAAACTACCTCAACACACTAGCAACATGACTCACTGTCCTTGTTTGTCCGGCACATGCAAGGAACAGCACAGAAGGGAAGGAAAAACCACACCAGCTTTTTGTTTTGTTTTGAAACTCTAGACACAAAATTTAAAAGAGCACTGTTTTGAAATGGTCTAAACCTAATTGTGAAGTCTTTCCTTAAGCTCAGTGGGCATCTAAGCAATGCATAACTAAAGCATGGCAGTAATAATCAAGCATGTCTTCCTACATGTTCATAAAGCCAGAATAGCACACAAGTAGATAAATTAAACTTAATAATGAATGGAAGGGCAAACCAGTAAAAGTTTGCCTGGTGACAACCCAAGAACATTCCCTTTCTGATACTACCATCAACAAGAAGATTTAACATGCTTTGTAAACTAGTAACGTCTTTCTAAGAACATGTTCCGAGTTTGGGGCGCGATAAGGACTGTGAAGGGGAACAGATTAGCTCACAAATACACAATGGAACACACCTGGGAGACAGGAGCCACAGCTCAGAAACAGTGTTGGCTATGAAAAGGCAAACCTGAGGGTACCCCCAAAGACAATTATGCAGTATCAATAAACATCTTACCTGTTCACAGTAAAAGGCTGTCGAGAAGGCTGCTGCTTTGGCATACATATTATGCTTGGCGAGCTTCTGTTGGGGCTACCTAACCCTGAACTGCTCATGCTATTTGTCCTGCTAGGAATTCCAATGCCCTGACCAACCTGGGAGTGGTTCATCATATTCCTAGGATTCATAGGCAAAATACCCCTGAAAAAGAAGTCCATTACACTAAATAAGCTCTCTATAATCACTCATTAATATTATCTATAAATAATCAATTGCTCTAACCCCTAGAATTCCAAATACACATTTCAGTTGTATTCCTAATTTTATAGTGGAACTAAAAAAGGGGTCATCATAGATGAGAACTATTGCGACAACTATGAGATAATTATAAATGTTTTCACATATATACTTCAAATAATTTCATTCAAAATTCCTGTCATTCTATTTTCTTGATATTAATAATATATATAATTTATGTTATCTGTTTATTTTACTCTAACTAAGCAATAGATGTGTGATAAGGGAGCAAACAAAGAATACAGTTATCTGGGGAGTCATTTTCAATTGAACACCATTGAGGAAGAGCTATATAGCTTTTGTATAAGCTCCCCAGGAGGTGATTAAACCTTGATCCCTTCAGATGAAAACTAGCACATAGCTTCAAGATCAAAATGCTACACTATACTTATTATCACTTTGCAATGAAATAAAATGAGCATAGGAATTGTTTTCTTAGTGCAAGGCACTGAACCAGAAAATCAAGTAATTAACTATCATATTAAAAAATTAAAAGCTTGTTTACTCTACAAAAATACATTCTGAATATTCTGGTCCATTAATAAATACCTGCTTGGAGATGGAGGCGTGTGAAGTGACATTGTTGGTACCCCTGTTGTTGGCGTGACGTGGCTCGGTAACTGAGTGCCTTGTGATAAGCTGCGATTTAACTGAGGGGTATTGTTGCTCATCCCCCTCATTGGAAGGCCTAGTGCACCTAATAAGAAAATTCAGAAGAAGGAAATTCATTGCCATCGGGAATGAAATTGGTATCCATCTTCTGGAGTTGGCAATCTAAAACATTTTAAAATGACCTAATATTCAACTCACTGTAAATGGACTCTGATTTTCAACAAAAGTTCTAGTCTAGAATTTAATATTTTGACTATCTTTCTGTATTTTTTCATATTGCTATTTTACAATAAACTATGTTAATAATTCTAACAAATGAGATGTTACATAATACAAACTGTTCTCAAATTCATTATGGGCATATTTGTGAAACTGGCACATGCAAATATGCCTTTAAGAAATTCTGCAATCTTGTGTTTTGTTTTAATTTACAATTAATGTACACAGAAAAGACAATCATTCCCACTTTGTCATAGTATCTTAAATTTTATATTATTCTTTGTAAATTCATTTTAGAGAAAAATCTATTAATACATATTTCTTAACATTACAATATTTACAAACCCAACACAAAATATTTTGCAATTGTTAAAAAAACAATTTGATATAGGTATGATTAAAAAATTGAAGTGATTTAAAAATCACTCAAAGTTTAAGGACCCTACATTTCTCCAGCACATCTGGGCCCAGAGAGAGGAATAGACATGCTGCACGGGTGAACTTTTTAAGACTACTACTGAGGTTTGCCATTCAGATACAAAATTCAAAAATATTAATCAAGTTGGACAAATTTATTTTTTAAATGTCTGACACACTCATTAACCATTTTCAGAGAGATGGCATAAAATATAAATTATTTTGAGTTTCGAAATGGAGACCTAATGCTCTATACGTGTTTATCTCCCTCCCTTTTGTCTCAGGTGTTCAGGACCACTCTGCTGCCATCCTATCTGTCTAGGAATGCCTCCTCTCCCCTCCAGCTGCTGACCCTCGGGTTTCTAGTGCTGTTTCCAGCTTGTTGAATATTGCACATTGGTCAATCAAACTTATTTTAAACTTGAAGCTAAATGAAAGAAAAAAGACATAACTGATCAGAAAACAATGACTGTAGTGGTGGGGATTTAAGATGATATTTTTCTTTACTGTTTCTGTTTTGGACCTAAGCATTTCAAAGACCTGAAGATGAGTCTATGCTTTCACATAAGTAGACTACTACACACACTGTACTTTCCCTCTGTCTACACCTTTCACAGAGTCCTTTCTCTCGAACGCCTTTGTAAGATGTGTCTTTTGGCATACCAAAGTGCTCACAGAGATTCCACTGATAGCTACTTGAAAGCTGTCAACCTCAGAATTTCTCTAAGACACTAGAAAGGGAACTAACCTAGAGTGTATATTGGTTTGTCACTCTATTTTACACTGTGTTATGTGACCTTAATAATGCTACAGCCTGTCATTTTCTCTAAGTCCAGGACAAAATAAGGAAGAAGAGAGATTAAAAATCAGCCTACTCAAGATACCTCCCCAAGAAATCAGTTTTTTCTCCTCCCTCAATCACAGTTTTCCTTAAGGTCCTGTGAGTGGTTCCCAGAAGAAACCATCCATACAGTCAATTTCCTAACCCACATTTCCTGGGTGCCTACTGTGTGGCCAATACTGTACAATCTGCAGGGAACAGCAATGGGTAAGACAGACAAGGCTCCTAACCTCAGGTGCTTAATCTCTATGCCTAAACAGTGTCTTAAAGTCAGCGCTAGATGAAAATGTCCAACAAGAGTGCATTTGCCAGTTACTCATCGCCAAAGTTACACACTTTTAGATCTTAAAGATCACCCACTGTGTCTACATTTTACAGATAAGAAATCTGATCCCCAGATAAGTTAACTGACTTCTCCAAGGCAACACAAAGAACTAGGGCTAGAATTTGGATCTCTTTAGCTCCTCGTGTTCTTGAATGACAGTACTATACAACGCAGAGACCACGGCGTTGGCAATGTGAGTGCCCACTAACTAAACCTGTCATCTACTCTTCCTCCAGCCTCCTCCGGGGGGTGTTCCTACCTGTGGGGTATCTATTAACCGTCTACGTATCCACCCACCCATCCTTCCTCTATGTCCTATCTCTTCTCTCCTCTTCCATTCTCTTCTCATTCTTCTTAATGCTTGTCCATTTTCTCTTCAGTTCATCTTCCTTCTCATCCTTCTTATACTCATCACTCCCGGGAAGTCATATATCCTCCAAAACTTATTATCTTGCTGGCCTCTTTAAAGAAATCAGTAGGCTCTACAAAAAACATTTTTTGCTACAGAAACTTTCTCATGTATTTTTCTGTCTGTTCTGTATAAGAAAAATGCCTAATTTTAGAACTACTTTAAATATTGTACATAATCTGAATATTGACAAAAAAATCTGGCCAAGAAAACAATGATGGGTAAGGTTTTTTAGTCAATTAAACACTGGCCAATTCTAACTAATTTATGGTGACTGGTGGGGGAAGACAATCTGAAGAAAATATACTTGACTTTCACATCCAAATTCATCTTGGTTAAACACAGCTAATAAATCTAACACATTTTATTCATTTTGTTGAAATATTTATGAAATATGAAAAGAAAAGGATACATAGTACAAACATTACCAATTCTTAAACACTTAATAGGGTTATTTGAAGTTTGACTTAAAAATGGAAGCTCTTTAAAACAGACTAATAGCACTGAGTAAAAGCATACGGAGATTTACTTTTAGGAAACAAAGTATACTAAGTTATTATATATGAGATACTTGAGTCAAACTATGACTAACTGGATAGGTACAAATAGGGAGGGAGAGAAAATTTAATCTTTTAATTATAAATAATAACACAAAATCATCTCCGAAATATCAGGGCAAGAATAGAGGAATCCCAAAGGAAAAGCTCAGTGGCTGTTGGTGGTGGCATAAGAACTACAGAAGGTAAGGATACAGGTGAGTGTACACGGGCTGAGGACTGATGAGAATCTGGGAGGTGACACTCAGGTGAGTGTACACGGGCTGAGGACTGATGAGAGTCTGGGAGGTGACACACAGGTGAGTGTACACGGGCTGAGGACTGATGAGAGTCTGGGAGG